AACGAACACTTGAGTTGATTATTCACCTGTTCTCCCCAGCTGTGGTACCTGTAACATGTCCCACAGACCAGATGCTGCCTTATATTGTTTTACTCCCTAAAAGCCCTTTCGGATTCAGTCCATATGTCTGAGGCTGGATAGGATGAAGCGTGAGTCTGGTCTACCATAGACGTGTCATATGGGACTGGAGCAAACACGGGGAGCAAAACCACTGTGGGGTCAGTCTGTACGTTAGATATTAGCGTCTCTCTGATTCCTGCCTTCCATCGTCAGTGAGTGGTGACGGAAAACCCTGCGGCTATATTTAAAAACAGCCATAATGAGCAATTTCCTTTAACCCCTTGTCGTCATCCCAGAATGCCCCCATGTGGGCAGGTGTGGTGTTGCAGGCGAGCCCTTACTTTGTTTTCCCCTCACCCAGGGTAGTGGCAAGTCCAAACAGCCTGTTAAATGCTAAAGAGCACCCCCTAGTGGAGGGTCATTTATTAACAGAAAAGCCCATCAAAAAAACATTCACCCCAGCATCCTGGCGGGTGACGTGTTCATCTTAGTCCATGTCCCCCAGCTGAGTCCCATATTCCCCTCTACCCAGGCTCTTCCCCTGGGGTTCCCTTGGTGCCAGTCTCTGCCCTGAGGTTGTGCCTCTGGCCCCTGCTGGAGTAACATCCTTCTCTGGAGCCTGTGGGGTCGGGGAAGTCCCTCCACTGTGACCTTTCTCCAGGGAAAGCAGGTAATCCATGTGAGGCCGGGCTTCCAGCCTGTGTCTGGGTGACCACTGGCTGAGACCAGGTCCTTTTGGGTGCCTGCAGACTGCCGTCCTCTATCTAGGAGTTGCCCATCTCCAGGAGCTCCTCTTAGAGCAGTGGTTCCCAAACTGGGGTTCGTGAACCCCTGGGGGTTTGCAAAGTGTTATAGGGGGTTCTTGGGAAAAAATTCACTAATGGCGGACAGAGCTGTCCCTAGGGACCCCGGGTAGCACGGGGCCCGCAGCCTGGAGCCCCTGGATTTTCAAGAGCTAAGCAGATCAAAGCAAGCACATCTATCACACTGAGGAGATTTAAACTTCAAGACTCCTTAGAAGAAATGTAAAGGGAAGTGGATATTTTTTGCTGTTTTGAAAATAAATAGGCAGCTAGTATTGTTTTGAAAATTATGATGAAGAACAAGTTTAAGCTTTGTTGTAATGTGCGGTTGTTTGCCTGGACTGCTCAAGACCTGAATGCTTGTGTAGGAGGAACTCTTTGAGTTGGCTTCTTAAATACCTTCCTGCTGTTTCCCATCTGACACTCCTTGATAAAACATAGGAGCCTTGTCTTATAACTGGCTTATTCAAAGCGATACAAGCTACGAAAGCGAGATCTTGGAAGAGTGTCGCCATTTTCATAATGTAATAAAAATACTTTAATGATAAATAATAATGAACAATAAATAGTGTGTAATAAGCATGTCATAAAAACAAATTTTATATCTCCAAGATCACTGCTTTTATAATTTATATTCAGGTAAAGGAGAAAATCCCTGGAAATATTCATTTTCAGAAGGGGGTTGGCGAGACCCAATGTCTGAGAGGTTCGCTGTCCCGATGGGTTCCCCAGAGAGCCCTGCTCAGCCTTCTGGCTCAGGTTTCTCCTGCGAGCTGCCCTCCGCTCCACAGGAGCCTCCCATCTCCCTTTGGTGCTACCGTCTAACTGAGCATGGGTAACCTTTATTAATCAGCCACCCAGGGCAGCCGATTACCTCCACTAGGGCTAGAAACTTACTTTATCTTTAAGGATGTAGGCTGAAATCATCACGTATCCACCTGACTCCAGGAGCTGGGGCTTTAAGGAAAACAATAATTATCATGAGACTCATGAGAGTTGGCAACGCTGAGTTCCTCAGGGAACTGATGGGCAGCATCCCCTGGGAGAATAACATGAAGGGCAAAGGAGTCCAGGAGAGCTGGCTGTATTTTAAAGAATCCTTATTGAGGTTGCAGGAAAAAAACATCCCAATGTGTAGAAAGAATAGTAAATATGGCAGCCGACCAGCTTGGCTTAACAGTGAAATCCTTGCTGACCTTAAACGCAAAAAAGAAGCTTAC